CCGATAAGAGACAGGCGTGTGTCTGTGCGGCAGCGCCCCTGGCAGCTCGGAGAGGGCCGTGCCTGTGCGGTGGGCTCCCCTGTGCGAGAGGCAGCGGGGTTAGACCTTGCCTGCCGCCCCCTCACCAGCCCCCAGGCAGCACGCCGGGCACCGGCCGTCCGAGGCATCCCCGTGAGCCCGCCTGCGCTCTGACAGTTTTCACCGGGTGTTTAGCCTGACCCGAAGTCCACTGAAGTTGTCAGGACGTTAGTTTCAGTGGGTTTGGAGTGGGAGTGCAGTGAAATGTGACCATGGTTTAAGCCGTTCTTGAGTAAATCCACGTTCAGTGGTGATCTGAGGATCTGCCTGTGCTGGCACCTTGGGAAATGACTCTTCTGTCGCTATAAAAGTGCCCAGAGCAGTGTGAAGTGTGTGCTGCTGCCCTCATTGGCGTGTTTGGCAAGAACAGTTCATCTTATACCTTCGCCAAGATATTTTGTAGCCGTGTTTTTTCTGTTGCTCTTATTTATGTGTATTCCTGACATCCCACTAAGCATGCTTTCGTGTAATCTGGTGTTGTGATTCTGTCCTGCAGATAAGGAGTAGGTTGTGTTCTCTTGATGTAATCTTGGGTAGATCAGAGAATGAGTGTTTTATTCTGCATCCTCAGTGTTCTTGGGTATGGTTCTCTTTTCCGATTCAAGCTCAGGCAGTCTTTGACCACTAAATGAGATCAGGTTTAAAAAACATCTGGAATTACTTAGTTAAGGATTTAGTAGGTGGGGCAGGTGAAGGAGAAAGTGAATCCTTCCCTGCCCCCGGCTCTGTAGGGAGCTTTGCTAAGGACTTTTGGAGACCTTTTACGGATCATTTAAATTAGGGTTTTTTTGCATAGATTGCCTCTGGAGTTGGTACACCTTGCGCTTTATGATGTGATAGCATCTGCTTTACACTCCAGAGCTGGAGTAAGTTACGTAAATTGGGCTCAGCGCAGTGCATGAACAGTGTAGACAAAGTGGATGGCTGTGCCAGTAGTGTGAGGAGTTGTGCCAGTGAACTTGTCGAGTGTATCTGATAGTGAAGAGGTGGGTTTCCACTGCCCTTTCCTTTGAAGGAAATGGGAATAGTTATAGATAGGAAAGAGTGTGGCCCCATACCCACCATAAACACCTACAAGGTTATTTTCCATCTTATGTTGCCTTCAGCACTGTTCAGGGGAGCTACGGGGTTTTTTGCAAACTATGTCAAATATTTTCAGTAAATTCCACAGGGCATTCCTCATAATGAATCAAAGGCAAAAGTCTTCATTAATCTCTACTGGAGGAGAACAAGTAGGAGTTTCCAAACCAGCTTTGGAGTTATCATAAGACTTAAAAAAGCCCACTCCTTCCTGCTCCCCCACCCCAGTCCCTCGTGTCTCTTAATCACTGTATCCAGGCTACATGCACTTGTCAGGGAATTAAATACATAGTCTCTGAATTTATAGTAGACTGGGTTTATTCCCATAAGAATAGTGGGAACAAGGTTAAAAAATCGTGTTGTAGATAACAATCCATTTTAGAGAATATAACTTCCTGTGGGGATTGCAATAACTAGTCCTGAAACTTGTAGTAACTGGTGGCTATAGGGAATTTGTGTAGTAAACAAGCAGTGAATGTGTGGCATAAGCATCTCCTGCTTTAAGAAGGCAGCTTCACCTTCATTACCACCCACACTTCTGTTGGTGAATCACATTTTGATATAAGGACTTTATAAAAAGGGGCCAAAGAAAAATTTCTCTATAAACCCCTTGATATTGTAGCCTTTTCTACCTGCATTACTCTGGAAGTTGCCTGATCAACATAATCTCAGAGGTGGTGGGAAATGTGCAGTGGTGTCTGTTGCCCTCTGTTTGTGGCAAGTGAATGGTACTTTGTTCTAGTCTTCTTTCTCCATAATATGACTAAAGCTTTTCTCACAAAGGTGAGTTTTTATAGGGATTTGACATGTTCCGGGAATGTGATCTTTCTTGTGAGTCCTCTCTAAACATCAAGTAAAGCAGCAGAGATTCTGATCTGTGAGTACTGAGTGTTCAGACTGAGTTACGGAAGCGGCACTAGATGGTAGGAATTCATAAAGATAAGCTCAGGAGGTGTGGATGGAGTGCTAGTACCAGGGATTTGAACCTGTCTTTCTGCTTGGATGGGAACAGAGTAAAACATGGAAGTTGTGATTTTATTTCTTTATTTTTTTAAACTTTGAATAGATGTATTGCGCATCAAACAGATCCAATTGCTGGATCCCAGCCAACAGCTCCAGAATAGCTGTGGGACACTCCTTTTTCCAAAGGGGAAAATCTCTTGTCTGAAATGCTTTCTTAATTCCCAAAGTAGGTCAGGAATGCAGTTGTTGAGATACGTCTGTGTAGTGAGTGAGTCATGGGAATGCTGTGTACTGCTCGCATTTGTTAACTGCTAAATTGCTTTGGAAACAATAAACTATCAAAGAGGAGGTATTACATAGGTTGTTTCATCTGCATATGTCTCAAAGAAAGGGAATAATTGATTTTGTTTTCCGTGAGAGGATAGTGTCAATCCTACAGTTGGGATTGGAGCAATTTTCCAACGTTAAGCCAAATTATTAGGAATGCTGCTGTAGAAAGAGATGAAAGACCCAACCACCAATGTCCTGGGGAATCACAAGCAGTCTCAACCCATCTCCAAAATTGGCAGTGTGAACCGGGCCGCGCAGCGGGGGAGGCTGCGTGCCTTCTCCTGTGGTCACATGTGGCCTCACTGCGGCGCGTCTGGCTGCGAAGTTGTTCCCAGTGGCTCAGCTCGCAGGTGGGGTATGATCAGTCCCATTTTCCCTCCTCTGCAGTGGTTAAGAGATGGCAGTCCTGGTGGAAGGGAAGGTAACGCTTGGAGGAGACAGTGCTGCATAATTTGCTGCTGGCAGAGCTGCCTGGCAGTGGAAAATGTGGTTCTTTTTTGGAGCTGATTTTTTTACCACTCTCCTGAAATGGCTCACACGTTCTTACATAAGGCTAATGTAATGACAGCTCTAAAGTGCTCACAATTAGAAGAAAGTTTATTTACTGCATATTCTGTAGATAATTGTAGGTAAATGTGAGGTGGTGGGAGAGGAAAAGCGAGTACCATTTACCCACTGGATGGTGCTGTTGTTTTATACAAACAGCAGAGGGGTCCTGCATAGCTCCGACTGAAGACTTCAAGCACTGTTGTTTCAGAGAGAATTAAGGATATGCAGTCTTTTCTCCTCAGTCAGGCTCCCACAAATCCCGCGTGTTGTGATCTGCCTGTTATCCACCATTCCCGACACTGGCTAAACAGTTTATGGATGGGAAAACACATATTTTCTGATCAATTCCTCCTGATCAGGACCAGAATTTTTCTAAAAATTCTCATTTGAAACTTTCCGCAACCCCCAATAGTTTGTTTCACCTGCAGGATGAGTATCTGTGGGGTCAACTAGGAGTTGCTGGAGGAAATGCTTGTTTTCAGAGTCTGTGGTTATACTTCACTGGGGGAAAGAGAAGACACATTCCTCTGATGAAACCACCTTTCCAGAGGCCAGGACTTGAGTTTGACTTTTGCCTGCTGTAGCATCAGATAAGAGCTGAAATAGGTATTTGCAACTTACATGACATTATTCTAACGTCCTTGTAACTTTTTATTGTGTTGTTTTATAACTCTCTCTTAAAGATATAACTGTGATCCTTACGAAGGAGAGGATTTTGTGGATCATTGCCTCTGTAATTTGTCTTCCTTGTCAACACTGTTACAGCTTTTTATTGGAACGGAAACAAAGAATAGTAGCCTGTGTGGTGTAAGAAATTGTTTTGTAAGCTCTGTCTATGACTCAGTAGTTGGAATTCTGCTACTATTAATTGATGGAAGTAGAAATTAACTCAAGATGCTGGTTTTAAAGAAATGGGAGGGTGGGAAATGGTGAAAGTGTTTCGTTTGTAGTAATTCAAGGTGGCTGCATTGGTTCTGAAAGGTGATAGTTTGAATTGTTAGTGGCTTCCAGCATCAGAGGACTGGCGGTCAGCTTCCTCAGTTTCCAAATACCCTGAATTCTGGTAGCAGAGAACTTTACAGAGATAACTGTTGGCAGTAGCTGTTTCTAGCAACCATTGCAAGTCTGTGGAGTCCAGGTAGAAAACCCCTGTGTGATGGCACTGGTTCAGAACAGGGCATGTGTTCTGTGGCCCTGGCAAGGCTTTCACTGGTACCTGTGCTCCTGCAGCGGGCATGTCTGAGCTAATCGAGAGCTGGTCACCAGAGCTGTGTCACTGACCAGTGTCTAGAGACTGACTGGCAAATGTGGGGGGAAAGCAGAGCTCAGAAGAGAGAGTATCTTATTTTGGGGATGCCACTGGTTCATACGTGAAGCAAGTCCTGACTCCAGATGAATAACA